TCACTATTCGAACTTAAACATTTTAATTTTTCTTCAAAATTCCATATCTCGGGTTAGGGACCTTGGAATTTGATTCCGGGCATACGCCCAAGTCCCAAATCACAATACGGACCTACCGGAACTGCCAAAACACTGGTCCAAGTCCGTTTGCTCAAAATGTTGACCAAAGTCAACTCAATTGAGTTTTAAAACTCTAATCTACATTTTAAATCCATTTTACACATAAAAAATTTTCATAAAAATTTTTTACGAATTGCGCACGCAAGTCGAGAATTGATAAATAGTACTTTTCGAGATCTTAGAACACATAATTAATTATTAAATTTTAAAATGACATTTTGGATCATCACAATTCTTGTCAAACTAATAGGAGTATAGTACAAATTATGCACCGTTAACTATAATCTATAAAATTCTGAAGGGTTCCACATCAAAAGAAAACTAAGTTCTAAATATTTGATCTGGGAATTTCACATGTCGCCACCGGATGATCTTTTGCAGTCAAGGATGAAGTACTTTCACTCTTTGCATCAAGGTTGAATTCTTAATCTTCCTGCATTGAATAGATTGAAATGCACCCTGTAAATTCATAAGAAAAAAAAAAATTAACACAAAAGAATGAGCGAACCAAAAAAAAGAATTAATACAAAGATGAAAATTGATTTGTAAAAATGCTAATATAGCGTTCAAAAGAGAAAACTATGTCCAGATAATTCTTTTACAAGAATTTTGAGTATACAATAAGAGGGGAAAACGCAAAGCAACAAGATAAGAAAATAAACTTGTATACTTTTTAAAAAACTTTTGAAAGAATTCTCATCTCATTTTTGTAATGTCTTTTCAACGAACTGTGGCTCCTCCCAATATTACATTAAAATCTTCAAAGTCTTACTCAATACCTATCAGAATACGGCAAAGCATCTATCAAATTGTTAGAATATAAATCAAAAATTTCAAATCAAATAGGTGTATGAGGATTCGGAAATTTTAAGATGTAAATACATAAATATACCTGGGAAGAGAGAAGCCACCGGGCTATCTAGCCAGTGATTCCGTTGGTTTGCTCAGTTCATGTGAAGAGATAAGGCGTTGTTGAAGAAGGAAATGGAAAAGGGGGATGGGGGGTGGCGGCAGGGAAGGGAAACACACAAAGTGAGAATGAAGTTTTTATTAGGTTTTGTGAATTTTGGTTTGGGCAAATTGGCCTTTATGTTCTTTTTAAAAAAATATATATTTGCTTCCTTTTATTTCTTATTTCTTACTTAATATATTATAAATACCATAAATACTAGAAACGTAAGTACTACTCCTAACAAATGCAAGTAAGTAAGAAAATTATCTATGAAAAATGCAAAAGATTAAATATATAATTTATACTAAATAAAATAGAAATATTAACTTGCATGAAATAAAGATATTCTATAATATATTGTATTCTTTATAACTTTTTTCGTCCTATACGTTATTATTAGTTTTTTTATGTATTCCTATTTCAATAATATTAACTTCTTAATTTTAGCGTTTAATTAGATTATGATAGTTATTAATTTCTTAAAATAGTATAAAACCATTAAATAAACAACTTTTCTATTTGTCTAAATTGAGTATAATTAGCGATCAACGTACATAGATACATCTTGTCTAAATTTGATATTGTTTATTCAAATCTAATGAAAATTAATTACACACTTAATTAAAATGTATTGAAAATTACAAGTATAATTGTTTTTAATATGAATTATGACATACTAGTTGTTAGTTTTGTTATACACTGCTATATCACCCATATTAAAATCTTAATTTTTTTTGAAGTGAAACTTAATAATATAAAAAATTTAAATATTATAAAATATCAAATAATAGTCACAAGAGAAACATGATCCTCTTCCTATATCTTTCTCATATGTAATTCTCAATTCTTATATTCGATGTATAATTTAATTTTTGAAAATTAGAAACTTATATAATTAGTCATCCATACATTAATTAGCTATAATTCCATTATATTTAATAAGAATTATAATATAATTATTGTTTCTGTGGACCTAAGTATCAATTAATTTCGTAATTTTTTGTGTAAATAGCAATAGCAGAATTATACAAAAATTAATAAGAATTATAATTTCATAAATTTTTTGTAGTGTTAAATATGTCCGTTGTATGTATTTTGGAGCTTTGGTCATTTATCAAAACTAAATGCACCAAAACCATCACAAAGTTCTACAATATATGAGAACTTATTTTTAAAATGAATCATTAGATATATGAAATT